ACTTGAGTGAGCGATGCGTCCGCGTGGACAGCTGCTATACAATAATACATTTCCATTTACCTCCTTCTCTATATCCATACAAAATAGCTACCAAACAAATAAAATTAAAATTTTCTTTTGAAAAATGAAACCATTCCATCAGTATTTTCTTATGACGTTGTCACGTTCAACTATCGTCAGTAAACCGACTTTACAGACAACCGATTTTTTTTTACCTTTTTCGAATGATCTCTGTACAATATAAATGCCTGCGAATAAAGCCACATTTGAAAAAGCATTCTTAAAGAAATACACAAAACCTTTCATTTTTATACGCATATATTAATGAATTAAATGTAAGCATAAGGTAAATTTTATTTCTCTAATACTGGAAGAAGCCACTCACCATCAAATACGAATAAGGCTAATACTATATGTATAGTAGGTATTACTTACAGCTGCAAAAAGATTTTTCTATAGGTAGTAGTAAAAACTATGCATTGAAAACTATATGTACAACAAGTATCTAATAATTTTGAGAAGCGTTGTTTTTACTTACAATTATTAAGAAATTCTGTACAAAAAAGAAATGCATATTGAAACGATCTGTACCTGGTCTTCCGTTTCTTTGTAGAGATCAACTTGAACATCAGGCGATGTTGGTCTACATGGAATAATAGCCTTTTCGCCTGTTACCACGTTTACGTATTCGTTGTCCCGAGTAACTGCTAAATTGCTTTCATCTATAACAAAAAAAGACTTTTACTAAAGTGCTAAAGAAATAGATGCATACAAAAATGTAAATTTATCATCATGTCGTCAGTCCTAAAACTAGTTGGACACGTACCTCCACTCTATCCTATCATGAGCTAATCAGTTCCCTAAAACTAGAACAACCCATATCCTTAACTATTTGCGAACAGTAATTTAATCTAGGTCTACCACTATCCCTCCTAACGTCCGTTTCTGCCTCTAATATCTCTGACTAAATGTTCATGCCTGAGAAGATGTATCTTACTAACCTATATCGCCTATTTCTTATTGACTTCCATTGAGTCCTCTGTTCTCCTAGTTCTTCAAATACTGTCTAACCTTCTCTGTCTACGGTATCCTCATTATTCGCTTCTAACATTATATTTCGAATGCTTCTAATCTTTTTTTTCCGCCGAGCCCACTGTCCATGTTTCGCACCCGTACAGCGCTGTGCTACAAACATACACCTTTAACAACCTTTTTCGAATTTCTAAATTAACCGTTTACAAGAATAGAAGTAACTACTTTTTATTGAAGGCGACTCGACCCCACTACTTCTAATTTTTCGTCTCCTGTCTTTACATTCGCTCTTTTCCTACTTCTTCTTCCTCTGCATACCAGTATTTTAGCTTTACTTTTATTTATTTTCATTCCGTACTGTTTTGTCAATACCGCTACCATTTTATTAAAAGCTAACTCTAAGTCCTGCTTCCTAAATGCTATATCATCTGCAAATCTAACCATACTAATCTATTGCCCCTGTATGTCTATCAAAAAAGTTATAGTACCAAAATAAATTGAGCTGAAATCTGAGATAAAAGTAAGAATTCTCAATATTCCAAATTATTATCTGTCTTGGTTAAATTTTAACACTCACGATAAAAATCGTTAGAGGACATTCTTCATTAATAAGACACCAGCAACTTTTGTTTGCGGTTGCGGTTAGGTATAGGAAACAAACATTTATATGTAAGACTGTCATTTACTACATAATTTATAAATATCCGCAAATATCTGCAATGACATTTCCCCTAAGTAATCTACAATTTTCTTCTTTTAATTTTTCTGAATAATACATATACCTATCCGAGTGAAAAACTTAAAAGGAAAATGTTATAACGACATTGTTCCTCTTATACTCTAGTTTTTGGAAATCTCCCTTGTGTTCCAAAATTTGTCATATAAATGTCATGCAAATTGCTGGCGTTAGAACCATTTATAAAACAATTGAATTAAATCAGTCGAATGTAAATGGATCGAAGCGAGCCATTTCCTCGAACCGTACAATTGAATAAATAATAACAGATATTCCGGGAGGTGTATTTAAGGGCTTACGAGTCCCTTTTATTGGTACAATCCCTTAAGGGATTTCATCGATTGGAATAGCTGCATCTTCTCAACACCAAAGGAAATTACTATTTATTTTATAATACTTGGTTGTGAAACATAATTCCAGGGAGCTCAGAATCGAATTAATTATTGTATAAATGTATAATATTAAAATTCAGAGACACATATGTTGTAATTAATTCTAATGCAATTTCATCCGGTTTAAATGTTTTCCAAGAAGTAAAAGATAATTGAAGGGATGTTCCCAAATAATTATTTCTGGCATTAGCATTTTGCATTTGAAGATTAACACAACTAAACGGACTTTATTTGTAATCTGACGTTTATTTTTAAATAGGATATCTCCCTGCCACGAGAAAGCAGAATGTTGGTGGATTTTATGAGTATGAAATAATTAAATTATGTTAAGCGATCATTAACGGTTATTAATTTATGTTTGTTCTATTGTTGTGAGGGAGTTACAAAGAGTTTTTAAAATAATATTTGAATGACCAAACAACAGAACTAACCGAACTTATGTTTGATAGAGAAGGTAGATATATGTTGCTACACAACATCTAAAATATTACAGAAAAATGCTTAGATAACGAAAATCAGAAAAATGCACTGATACTATCGGTACCACGTTTACATCTGTAGATAAAACACGTACGTTGTACAAAACTAGAAACTTAGAAGTTAGTTTCCGTAAAAGCGCAATAAATTGTTGTGAAACATCGTAAAGAATCTGGTCTTGTAATAAGACTAAATAAAAGCGGATTGGAAAAATGTGTTGTATTTTGTCTGTAAGTTTACAGTTAACTATCGACAGCTATTACAATACTGCAGTTAAACGAAATTTATGTCTTCCTTCGAATGTTTCGACTAAATGCAACTTAAACGAATTTAAATATATGTCCATTTAATTACGTCCAAATAATTACAACAGCAAATTGAGAAGCCTTCCACACAGGAATTTTAAGTTATTCTTATGTTGATTCAAAGATTGGTTTAAGCACCATTAGCTAAAATTCAATAGTTATTTAATTACCAATTTTTAGGTAATTAGCAGTTCATTTCTTTAATTTGAATTTTAATGCAAACGAAACATCTAAACCTACAACAGTTTATTTAGACCACTGCCCTTTATGATTCTATCATGAATTCCTAAAGTAAAAATGTCTTAAAGATTCAAGTGGTCAAGAATGTTTTTTCTCCTAAGACTAGTTGGACACGCACCTCCACTGGTTCGTATCCTGAGCTAATCTTCGCATTTCCCCAAAACTAAAAAAAAACCCACATCCTTAACTATTTGCGAACAGTAATCTAATCTAGGTCTACCTCTACCCCTCCTAACTCCTGCTTCTGCCTCTAATATGTCTCTGACTAGACCTTCATGCCTGAGAAGATGTGCTACTAACCTATCTCGCCTATTTCTTACTGACTTCCATAGTCCTCTGTTCTCCTATTCTTTCTAATACTTCTTCATTTCTAACCTTCTCTATCCACAATATCCTCATCGTTCGTCTGTAACACCACATTTCGAACGCATCTAACCTTTTCTTTTCCGCAGCGCCCACTGTCCATGTTTCGCACCCGTAGAGTGCCGCACTCCAAACATACACCTTTAAAAATCTTTTTCGACTTTCTAAATAAATCGTTCGCGAGCACAGAAGTAACTTCTTTTTATTGAAGGCGACTCGACCCTGCGTTATCCTCTGCTTTATATTCCTACTACTCCTTCCGTCCTGACTTATCTGACTTCCTAGATACCTAAATTCAGCCACTTTTACTAAGTTTTCGTCTGGTTTCTTTACATTCGCTCTTTCCCTACTTTTTCTTCTCTTGCATACCAGTATCTCTAACTCCTCCTTGTTAGATGCTAATAGTGCTATATCAGCTGCAAATCTAAACATACTAATTTTTTGCCCTGTATATCTATCCCTATAGTTTTACTGTTTTTAATGATTTTGTTTGACTCCCTTCCTAATATTTACTTTTCTACATTGTAGCTCAAGCTCTATTACCTTTGACGAACAAATAAAAACTTTTGCTTATTTCAGTGTCTTCGCTAGATAGGCAGGTGTAAAATCCCGTGTCGAGATAGGACGCACTCGTTATTTGTAAGTAGGCTGTGTATTTGCCACCATCTTTTGAAAACGTTGTAGTAATAGTAGACGATTTTCCGGCGAGATCCTGAAACAAAATGACGCGATATTTACAATTATTTCAACAAAAACTATAAAGAGATCAACTTACTGTTGAATTCGGGTAAACCCAGCTGACCAAATGGGTTCCTTCGCATACGAAAGTGACGTCGGTGTTAGCATTTATAATTAGTTCGTCTTGATTAGGAAACGTTATTTGTAAAGCTCCCAGTGACGTCGAAAACCCTGAAGTAAAAAGAAGTAAGTTATAACTTAATAATGATGTAGCTAATTACTCATTTAAATAATTAATTTACGTTAAATGAGAAACGTTTGTTTTGAAAATTTCCATCTACCTGATTGGCTTAAGTGAATTTATATTCAGTTTACAGAAAAGTTAAGAACGCCACATTTGCATTATGAATATTTTAGCGACGCTTATATACGCTTACAGTAAAACTCGGCTTTAGCGAACTGGAACAATCGATACGTTACTCTATCAGAAAATTAAAAAAAAATAAAACTATGTATGATTACACACTTATTGTTTTACTTTGTTTGTGTGTAATAAAACAAAAAATTGTCAAAACATATATTCCTTTTTTTAGGAATCAGCGTAAAACACAATCTGCTATTTTAATTCTTCTTACTACAAAGTATTAGAAAATATCACAAATAGCGCGGTAAAAGCCATCTATAGTACGATGCTACATTTTAAGATTACGTAAGCTTCAACAAGGGTCCATTTGTATGGATATCTACTTGCTGAAACGAATCCCGGCGTAGATAACCTCAACGTGATAGGCACGTTACCTTGATCGAATAAAATAATTTGAAATGGTCTGTATTCTGTCGAAACTGCCAGACGCGGATCGCGATTTCGATCTTTTTGGATCTCATCAGTGCGTCGCAGACAGCTCCGACAGAACACAGACCAACTTTTACTTGCTGTCTTAACAGTGCGTTTTAGAAAATACCACTAATCCTAAAGTGTAGCATCGTACTACAAATGGCGTTTACCGCGCCATTTGTGGTATTTTCTAAAACGCACCGTTAAGACAACCGGTAAAAGTTGGTCTGTGTTCTGTCGGAGCTGTCTGCGACGAGCTGATGAGATCCAGTTTCGATAGAATACAGACCACTTCGAATTATTTTATTTTATACAAAGTATTCATAAAAATTATAGAACCTTGATTATCTCTTTTGTAGCAATGGAACTCTTTTTAAATTGTAATAGGTAGTTCTTCCTCGATTAAATTCACCCAAAAAATAAAAATGCCGTTAGATGAAATTGGTAAATAGTATATCTAAAAAGAATAATTTAGAATTTAGACATCTAAATGTCGACGTTTCGGTCAATACTATTTTTTGACCCTTATCAATATTGTTCAGTACTCTATAAAGAAGGAATTAAACATTAATTTAATAAAGTAGTACTGAATAGTCTTGATAACGGTCAACAAAATAGTATTGACCGAAACGTCGACATCTAGAGATGTAAATTCTAAATTATTTTTTTTCGATATACCTACTGTTCACTAATTTCGCGTTTGGCATTTTTATTTTTTGATTGGATTAATCGAGAAAGAAAAATAACTAATACAATTTAAGAGAATTATACAATTTTTATAGATGTAAGTATAATTCTAACATTAGAAATTCGCATATCATAATTATTGTATTAATTATACTCGGAATGCGTACTACACATATTTGTGATTAGTTCACAACCAGGCAGGAAGGAAGTGACCATAATCTGAAAAAAAACTCGACGGTTTGCTGTGGTGTTGGAAAATTTAAACAACTGGAAATTTTAAATGGTTTCGTTTCTAAGCATTACATTTGATAAGGATATTCTCTATTCTATTGAATAGAAAATGCATATACTTTTTGTATAGTAAATTAAAAGAAGAATCTCCTTGACGTACATACTAAATATAAGCATGATGTGTACACGGATTTGTGAATTGCTAAAGCGGTTATAAGTAATATGTAAATGAAACACTAGTTTATTTTAATACACCAATATTCGTGTTACTTTTTGCATAAATGTAACGCTATTAGAAACCGTCTAAATGGTTGTAGTTTATTGCTTTTTCAATTTGAGAGAAATTTATTTGGGAGTTTTCAAGTACATATGTTTTTATTTGATGGTGTGTTATTATTTTCGACGAAAATATCAACACAGTTTCAGCATCAGCTTTGCAGAAGCGTTTACAGTTGAAATGATTTGTTAGGCGTTATCTGGAATTAACAGAACAGGGAACTTTTATCTTCCCAACTTCCTTCTCCTTATCGAACCACTACATCTTATTAAAACCTTACATTATTTTTCTGAGCCAAGGGTGACCCTTGGCCAAAAATAATACGATATTTAACAGAAGAACAGGTCTTAAAGATAAGGGAATTTTTATATTTTTGTGAAAACGATTAACGCGTTTAGGTAACCGAATCTACAGTAATGTAATATTAATTCGATCAACAAATTACACGTTAACGTTTTATGGGATAATAGTGGGTGGATGATAGATAGTATTGTATAAGGCGGTACTTAAATAATTGTTTATTTTTTGATAAATAAACAAATAAAAACACACAAATACAGTAATATTAAATAGAGAAGCGGACATAAATATCATTAAATGGAATAATAAGAGGAATCGTTTTCGTTTGGGAAACCAAATATAAATACATATGCATACTACGGGTTTTAATTATTTGTATTATTATATTGTACATCCAGGATATCAAACGTAGTTTTGATATTCAACTAATTTTAGTAAGTCGTATCACCAGAGGAGATGACTGCACCAATTTCCATTATAGTCACGTGTACTTACGCTGGAACATTTAAATTCTGTATCGTTTTCATGTAACTAAAATAAAGTTTGAACCCCTATAATTTTTTAAGGGGGTGAGACCGCCGCAAAGCTTTTATGGTACAGTTGTGGGGGAGACCTCCTATTTCAATCCCCCCTGCCCGTTACCGTAACTACTCCTTATTTTAAAAATTAATTTTGCAACCGAAGTTTTAAGACTTTATTTACGATCCATTAATAACATTTCTTTAAAAATATTAGGTAATTACAAATATCCTTCTTGGTGCATGTTTCTACTTAGAACAAGTAATTCAATACTTGTTATGGCTCGTCTTTTCGTCAAATAAAATTTGTGTCGCCGAGCCAGTTTTCGTATTGACACAGCAACATAATCGATCATTTGTACAATTTATTAATATCGAGGAAGCTGTCAAAAGAGGAGAAGTATGGCACGTGAACGTACCCAACAGTAGATGTAATGCTCCTAAGCTCGTAAAACTGTTAAAGCTCTTCGTCTTTGACATAAAAATTAAATTTTAGCCTCCAACCGAGCGCTCTGTGTGTGCTTTAGATTTTTATTGAATGGATCCGGGCAGATCCCAGTCACATTTTTCAATATGAATTATGAATGTGTATAAGCGGCGTTTTCTAACTTAATGCCGATATTTCACAATCCTATTCGGAAAATTTAAAGAAAATGTCAAACATAGGCCCACAAACGTTTTCTTTTCTAGATACACTATAATTCGAAAAGTTTTCTAACTCCAATGTTTTTTTGTTCGCCTGTTTTACATTTATAAACATTTGTAAACTCTTGAACTTAAATTTATCTATTTCTCTAACTCAAATTTTTCTCGGGATTCAAGTGCAGGTTTTACTTTATAAATCGTCCCTTTAATTCAATTTTTTTTAATTTCCTTTGGAAAAATCAGCCGATTAGAAATAAAGACATTCACATTGCTTGCAATAAACGGACAGATCATCAGCATTCAAACCTTTTTGTAATTTGGCTAGCAATATTTCAATTTTGAATAAACCTTTTTATTTAGTGCGGCCCTTACCATAATTGAATCGAGCGTTGATGTAACTCAGTCAGAGTATTTTTCATTTTAAATTTTTATTCGTTACGTGAAGCAGACGCTTAATGAGAAGCGAATATTAATGAACGTGGAAAAGAAGCCGAAACTTTAGTCGTCTGTGCTACGAGAGGATAATAAAAAGTTAAAGTATCGCATACTCTTGTTTTTGAAGTAATTGGAGTGTGATAAAGGTTTTTAAATTTATTAAGGCCATTAACGGGATTATTACCTCATACGTATATGTTTAATCGGGCAGTGACAGGTTCGTAATTATTAATACATAACTGAGAATCGTTTCTTAGCTACCAGCACGTAACAGGCTTCTTTTATATGAACAAATTCTTTCAAAATTTTTTGACGTGAAAACGACTCATGCGGCGTTACCTCGTTCTGAGGCGTTCCATTTAAGGCTTGAAGTGCAAGCGAGAGCGCGGAACGAGCGACAAAGAGGCACAATCGGCCTCCGCGTTCGGCAACGTTCGACATCTGTCTCTCTCCTACTTGAGTGAGCGATGCGTCCGTGTGGACAGCTGCTATACAATAATACATTTCCATTTACCTTCTTCTCTATATCCATACAAAATATCTATCAAACAAATAAAATTAAAATTTTCTTTTGAAAAATGAAACCATTCCATCAGTATTTTCTTATGACGTTGTCACGTTCAACAATCGTCAGTAAACCGACTTTACAGACAACCGATTTTTTTCTTTATTTTCTCTCATGTATACACTTATAATTATTATTTCATCACTTCCTGCTTTCAAGTCAATCCTTTTCAACTCATCATTTATTTTTTTGATAGTGATTTCTTTGTTTAGCGAGCTTTTTCTCAACGCTGTGACCACACTTCCTTTGGGTCTTCCTTTTATTCTCGTGATTTCATTTCATTTTGTTTTTAGCTGTCGCTCTAGTTGAACATCCTTTTTTTTTTCTATTGACGCCTCGATCACATTTAATATGTCGTTTTTCCTTAATTCATCCCAATCCTCTTCGTCTAAACCATTTATTTTTCTTACGTTCCAGAATATCACTTGCATGTTTTTCTTATAGTTATTCCTGATCGATGATTCTATTCTTCTGTCTTTTCTTACGAAACCATTTAGTACTACTTTTACTCCTAGCTTTTCCTCCATCCATTTCTCTAAGTTTTTCTTATCCTTTATGTCTGTTCCGCTAATTATTACATTCTTTTTCCTTCTCTCTCCCTCTCTAAATTTTCCATCAGCCATCTCAGCCCCTTATCTGTTTTATCGCCACTTCAGGCGACTCATAAGCGTCTGCTTCCATTTTCTCATCTTTCCTCTTCCACTGCTTTAATTTTTTTTTTAATTTCTTTTATAGTTCCTGTTTCGTGGAAATGCTACTTGTAAATTTGACAAGAGCTCACTTTCTCTAATAAACTTTTCAATATTTTTTAACCGTATATTAACCAAAAAAACTATATACAACTTAAGGAACACTTAACAATTAACACAGAAAAAGAAGAAGAATTAATTTAACGACATAACTTAGCTAGGATAGATAAAAATTGAGGAGACTTCACGAGAGCTTTTCGAACACTTGTTTTTGTACCAAGCAAGTCAATTTATAGAGTTCAACCAAAATGGGGTAGGGGTGGTATCGCCACCCTCACCTCTTTTACCGAAGACACTTTGATGATAATAATAATAATGAGGTTCTAGGACCTTGCGCGAACAGTTCCTATTGTTTCCTCAATTAGTGTGATTTTTTGTTCATATGTGTATATCTTCTTTTCTTTTTCTTCGTTTTCTTTTTTCAAGCTTTCGATGTCCCGTTTCATTTAATTAAATTCCTGCTTTATCCTTTTTTCCAGGTTTATAAATTTGTCTTTCAAACCATCGTTTCCCTTCTTTATTTTTCTGTTTTAATTGTAAAATGATGCCCAAATACGAATTGTTGCCTACTATTGTTACTGCTAGGCAGCATTTAATTTAATTTATCAATTTTATAACCTACATGCCTAGCTTAAGCTAACGTGCCTATCACGTTGAGGTTGGCTACGCCGGGATTCGTTTTCAGCAAGTAGATATCCACACAAGTGGACCTTGTTGGAGCATACGTAATCCTAAAATGTAGCATCGTCCTATAGATGGCGTTTACTGCGCCATTTGTGGTATTTTCTAAAACGCGCTGTTAAGACAGCAGGTAAAAGTTGATCTGTGTTCTGTCGGAGCTGCCTGAGACGCGCTGATGAGATCCAAAAAGATCGAAATCGCGATCCACGTCTGGCAGTTTCGACAGAATACATACCATTTCGAATTATTTTACATGCCTATTGTTATTATTATTTAAGATTATTATACTACGAAATTAACAGACAAAAGGTTTTCTTCCTTCTCACAAAATAAAACCCTGGGACATGTTGTTCTTGTTATATTAAACGACGCCACTGTATTAATAGACAATCGATTTGTAGTATTTCTGATCGTACTTGATTTCCGTGATTAAATTTTTTTCTTCGATTGTTTAATGAGAAAACTGGAAAATTATTTCCACGAGTAGGTATTTACGTGGAATTATTAAGGTGTGCACGTTTGACGAACGCGTACGAACTGCACCTACGGTCAAAGGCTTTTATAATCGGCCGTCAATTTTATTGTAGAAAAACTATGCAGTTACTGACCCTCCTGGAGGTCGTTACACTAGAACTAACACTAACGTTCTATTTTATATTCATTTACTTATCGCAATGCTTTGCGATTAAGTGTCTTTTAAATAATTTGCAACTTTTTAGCCAGGCAATGTTTATATATACATATATATTTGGTACCATTCATGACCATATTGTAGGAACTCAAACCTTTTTGTGACTATCTTATTTTTTTATTTTCGGTACAGCCGATAAAAGAGGAAAATATGATTTGGGTGTACAACTGATTGTCAATTGTTGTGAAATACTTGTCACCGGGTCGGTTCGTTTACGTTTTTGTATGCTGTTTCACTTTTCTTAAAAGGTAAATGAACGTCTGACTCATCCATTGAAGAATCTTGACACAGTTAACAATAATGGTAGTAGTCGTGGCGTCTATAGGTAATGCCTTTAAACATTCCAGAACAGGTATTTCAAGTATCGTAAGGTACTGTTCCATTGACGACAAACTCAAGCAGCATTTTTTGTAGTTATCAAGAACTTTCACAAAAATAATAATACAAAAGTAATTAACTTGGATATCAACAAATAATGTAACATATCCGAGATGAAGTTCGTTTAATTCTTAGCTAATCAGAATATATCTAGATATAAGAATAAAAATAGACGAAGTTGATGTATTTTCTTTTCTTGACGTTTCGAGGGCTTGACATGCAACTTCGTCAGGCAAATGATGATTGTGGTAATACATATCAATATTGGCTTTTTCATCAACATTCGCCTGATGAAGTAGGCAAGTCAAGCAACCGAAATGTCGTAAAAGATCAATTTGTCAATATTGTATACCCGTTCTTCCACCTGGTTCTCAATTGATTAATTGGGAATTCAGTAACGCATATCTCGTAAAATCCACATTTGAGAACATGGCCCAAAATTCAGTCAACACATCTTTTTAAAATTGTAAAGCTAATTCTCTGCCTATAGGTACTAAATTTTATTGTATTGCGGTCCCCGTTTTGCTGTAAAAATTATTAATTATAGTATAATTACGATATCAGTTAATATTAAAGTTAATAATAGTATATTATCGTATATATAGAATATTCTTTTTATAAATTACTAGCGGCATCGCTCGCGTTGATCTGCTAAATACGTTGGTCAAAACTCATCGACGACTACATAAAAGTATTTTTTTCTATCCTTCGGGAACAGCAGTTTTTCTGGATAAAAGGTACCCTATGTCCTTTCTTGTACCCCTGACAATGAGTGTACAAAATTTCATGATGATTCGTTGAGTAGTTTAGTCGTGAAATGGTAACAATCAAATTCACATTCGCATTTATTATATTAGTTAAGATTGAAGTGGTATTTGATTGATAGTCCTATATACTCTGCTGTCTTCTAAAATGAGTTTCTTTATATCTTGTTGATTCTTATAGTCTGTGTTGATAAGTTAATATTTACGAATTATCCATTCTTGTGGTAAATCTATTCGAGTTATCAAAGTCAAATTGTGGTAAACTTCATTTAACCACCTAAACGAACAAAACAGCAACAAGTTTAACGGTTAAAGATTTCGTGAAATATTTTACATTCGCGGATCGCGATTTCGATCTTTTTGGATCTCATCAGTGCGTCGCTCCCTTGTGTTCCAAAATTTGTCATATAAATGTCATGCAAATTGCTGGCGTTAGAACCATTTATAAAACAATTGAATTAAATCAGTCGAATGTANTTCTAAAATGAGTTTCTTTATATCTTGTTGATTCTTATAGTCTGTGTTGATAAGTTAATATTTACGAATTATCCATTCTTGTGGTAAATCTATTCGAGTTATCAAAGTCAAATTGTGGTAAACTTCATTTAACCACCTAAACGAACAAAACAGCAACAAGTTTAACGGTTAAAGATTTCGTGAAATATTTTACATTATTTACCATATTACTATATTCAATTATAGTTTATGATTTAAAAAATCTGTATTAATTTATAACTATTGTTTTTCAAGTCATTTAAAGAATTATTCACATAGAAGTTCAAACGAAGAAAAAAAGTGCTGAAAATTAAGTGATTATTACTACTTGTTTGCAGTAAATTTATTTAAGTCTATACAAAGTAATTTAAAAGTAGATGCAAAATGATCTTTCTCATCAGTAGTGATATCATCTTCATTTATTAAACGTTTTGCTATTAGCATCGCCACTTGAAATCGTTAAAACGTATTAAATTATAGTCGAGATGGTTTAAAATAGCTTTGTTGCTTCAAAAATTGTTCTATCTTTAAAATTGGAATACCCATCAATTTGAAATAAAAATTCCATACTTTCTTAAACAAAAACATACTTTCATAAATGTTTGTTTTTAAATATATGTCTTATTTGTTAACGATACTCAATTAAATTGTAGGAAAAACTTAAACTTAAGAGTATCTTTCTTTATTTTGCTATTACCAATTATCTTTTTTCTCTTTAATATTTTTAAATATACACATTATCTATATTTATACGTAATGCATTTAAGCAGTTTAAAAAAATTGGATTTTACATTTAAACGCTCTCTGATTTTATTGTTCTTTGAACCTTTCGCGCTAGTTTTAATAATAAATAACAAAAACCCCGGCGAATCCATTTGTGAACAGGTAAACATACCTGTTGTGATTCATTAATTCTGATCATGATCATCTAAGCGTTGTAAAGGTCACATACACACATAAACATGTAAAAATGTGTGACAATATTCCTATAAGAAATAATATACAATTACTTGAAAATGGAAAATTTTAATTGTATACATATTTCGGTCTGATCGGTGTCACGTTTTGTAAATGTAATTATTCAGTGCCTTTGCAATAAATGTCTAAAATTATTAAAGACTTCAAACTTGTAACTTTCACTTTATTTCATTGGTTCGGTTACAGCAAACACCTGTATGCAATCCCATTATAATTATATTATAGCGCATGTACAAACTTAAATAATGTTTTTTAGTCACATATTTTAAGTTAGGTTTTGAAAACGCAGCAATATTTACGTTTAGTATATGCTCAATTTTTATTTCTAATGAATCTTGTCGGTTCCAATTATTTATATTTATTTTCGATATCTATGCAAACGATTTACGATAAGATACTAATGTTTTCCTGTCTCAATCGCAGCATTTTTGAAAAGGATATGAAAATGTTTACATGCTTTACCTTGGAGTAGAAATATTAAAAAAAATGAGGTTTTGAAAGGTAGTTCTCTTATCACAGCCATAACAACACTACATTTACAATAACACTACACTTTTCTGTGCAAAACCGCATTAACAAAATCAAACCTAAATTTTTGTGTTTCATTTACAATCGCATTGCGTTCACAGTTTAACGTTTACAGCGCATATTCAACAAAGTTGACTGAGCCACTGACTGATTCAGACTGTCTCGTAATGAGTAAGAGAATGCTTGTTACGAGTTGAACCTCAAAAAAGGAGTGGTACTATTATCATATTTGTTGTTCTACAACCATCTTGTCACTATATAAATAGTAAGTCAAGTTCAAATTTTGTTGTTGTTACTTGAGGATGACAACAACTGAAGTTGAAACAGATTAAAGTAGTCTAAAGGATCACACTGTAAAATTGTTTTAACGTGAAAGTTGTGGTACAAAAAATTATATTTTATNATTTAGCCAAATTTGGTCCAATATTGGGGCAGCTAAGCATTGGCCTGCCAGTACTGATCCAAACTTCGATTTAATTGTCAAGTGTCAAAGCTAGCAAATCATTATCGGCTAATATTAATTCAATTAAATTCGAAATAGATAAGATCTAAATTTTACCAAAGTTACATACGTAAGTAAGTTAGGTAAATGAGAAGCAGACAGAGACCACATAGATAAAGAATTTGTGTCACCCTGTAGGTATCATTACTAGTGCCTGCTGTTTTTCCTACAACATTATCACTAACATTACTTAATTTTCCTCAAATTACATAGAATTACGAATAGTTTTTTGCAAATAAATAAAGGAGCATTTAAAAGCATTTACAATAATTACAATATATTATAACATAATACTGTTTACGTATAAAAAGCGGGTGTATTGTCATTTTTGGACTAGAACTATAGTGTACTCTTTTAGTAAGTACCAAACATGCTACTATATGTTTCCTTTATCTCAATGTTGATAGTTTTCAAATTTTAAAAACATTGTACATTAAGTGGTTATCTCCCGATAACTAGCTAAAGCTTTAAATAGAGAAATCTGTAAGCTTACAGTTGTTTTCACGAGTACTCAAGAAAATACTAGATTTTTATTGAGGAATTTTGAATTATTATTTAAAAGCTTGCTGATGAATTAAACCATTTCCTTAAATTGATTTCGTATTTCGCTGTAAGGGTCCTGTAAGGTTATAAAACATTAACTGATAATGAGTTATACAATTTACTCACATTTATTTGAATGCGTGCCTATTTACATTTTTCAATATGAATTATGAATGTGTATAAGCGGCGTTTTCTAACTTAATGCCGATATTTCACAATCCTATTCGGAAAATTTAAAGAAAATGTCNTTTTATTGAGGAATTTTGAATTATTATTTAAAAGCTTGCTGATGAATTAAACCATTTCCTTAAATTGATTTCGTATTTCGCTGTAAGGGTCCTGTAAGGTTATAAAACATTAACTGATAATGAGTTATACAATTTACTCACATTTATTTGAATGCGTGTCTTTATTTAATTTTGAAATCAATTTCATCCTATAACATACATTATTAATTAGAAATTTCGAATTTATTTGTAACTTATGGTATTGATTCTATTTGATTATTATTTTTCTTTGCCTTTGTAGCTAGAAAATAAGAATAAAAGATGCTTTTTAATTTCATATGGAAAAAATTAAATTATCAGTATTATTTGTAGAACCAATTAAGGATGTCGACATGTCAGTTTTAGCATTTCCAGTTGAGAGTTCATTTTAGTGTAACGTTTCTCTGACTTCATACTTCAAACAATTGACATTCATGTATTCAATATGTTTTTTCTAATTTCTTTAGTTAAATGTACCTGTGCCTTTTTGAATTTTTTCGATATTCTTTTTATTTAAGAGTGTGTTATTATTGTGTATTGTTATAATGAGAATTTGATTGTGGCAATACCGAAAGTTGCACTTATCGCTTATGCGATATCTCACCCCGAAAGATTGGTGTTGTGTTTAATTTCATGTTCATCGATAAACTATTGTAGGATACTCAGGAAGTAAAATAATTAGATGGCAATCTATAACTTTTATTGTTATCAATTACGCAATAATTTGCACATACTGATCTAAATTTCTATAACATTCTTTTTACATAAATCTAACATTTTTCCATGTAAGGGATAGATACATCTTTCTGTTTTAAATATACTCAGTTTAATATCGTATTTTATGCGCTTTATATATGTACACTCATTAATGGTACTAGAAATTCTTTGCTTCATTTCTTCATTAAATTTTTATCAATTTTACCAAACAATTAATTGGACATACATCAAATTAATCATTAAAATAATATAATAAATAGGAACAGTAACACGTGGACTAGGTAATAATTTAAATAATTTTAATATTAGTTATGTATTATGTGGGTATACATCATCTACCACATAAATTACATTTATATTACATAATATAGATACTATTCTTACACACTGGATTTGTAAGTAATTACTAGTATTTCAATGCTTTTTTTATGTATAAATCACTTAAATCTAATGACTAGAACTTTGACTCGCACTTAAGCTTTACGCCCTTTTGTAAAATGGCTAAATAAATAAAACTGGAAAACAACTTTACTACCCTATCGTCAATACGTTATTATAGATAAAATACATACAAAGACTAGTGTAATACCTAACTTATTGTACCAAATATATATACATCCACTTTAATCAAGAATTAAGATTGTTGTCTGAAAGGTTATTAAATTTTTGTTTATCTAACGGTACAACGTTTCCTTTTTATATTGCAATATATTCATACGTGTATGTAGAGGATATATATGTAGGTATTAGGTTAGTACAATTATTGCCCTAAAGTTAGTTATATCTTTGGTAGATCTAGCTGTTAAATGTTTCTGAAGAAACATGCAAGATAACTTTTAGAGATGAGAGAATACGAATAAAGAAATTGATATGTTTCAAATAAATCACGCAATGATATAGAGCAGGCAAAAGTATTATTGATTCATCAGCTTGATGTTTTCGCAAATTATTTGACTTGAGCTCAAATTCAAGCTTTTCAAAAATCAACTATTTGACTTGACTTGGTCGCTGTTGCTTGACTTGACGTAAAGTAATTTCAACCTACTTGAAATTGTATTGTTAAATCGATTTATTAGCTAATTGTAAAGCTTTTATTATTCAAATTGATTCTAAAATATACATTTGGTGTATTCTTCGCATTTTACAAATTTAGATGTAAAAGATTCCGTGAAAATACTTGATTGTGACATGATGATAGTGAAATTAGAATTAAGAACTACATTCGCCATGACTAGTAAACTTGTTAAAAGTTGAAACTTGATGCCACACAATGATTAATGAATAAATCAAGTCGTTGTGAAAAAGTACTTGATTCTCCAAATGCTTGAAATGTAACTTCTTGACTTGTTTAAGTCAAATCGTGAATCTCTTATTTAGTATGTTACCTAACGAGGAATATCGTCGTTCAGGATGACTCAAATTACTAGGTATATCTATAGAAAAAGTGAAAACTCTTCACTTACAAATCATTATCGGCTAATATTAATTCAATTAAAATCGAAATAGATATGATCTAAATTTTATCAAAGTTACATACGTAAGTAAGTTAGGTAAATGAGAAGCAGACAGAGACCACACAGATAAAGAATTTGTGTCACCCTGTAGGTATCATTACTAGTGCCTGCTGTTTTTCCTACAACATTATCACTAACATTACTTAATTTTCCTCAAATTACATAGAATTACGAATAGTTTTTTGCAAATAAATAAAGGAGCATTTAAAAGCATTTACAATAATTACAATATATTATAACATAATACTGTTTACGTATAAAAAGCGGGTGTATTGTCATTTTTGGACTAGAACTATAGTGTACTCTTTTAGTAAGTACTTAAACATAGTTGATATTTATTACATACTAATAAACACATAGAGTATTGAAGAACTGCAGTTGAATTCAATAACAGATAATATATACGGACATATATCTAAAGATATAATACAAGCCCTATCTCAACGAAGTTTGGCTTGCTGCTCAAAATACAGAATTTGTAGAACTACAAATAAAACCCTTTTTGAATATTACTCCTACCTATTGGGTCTTTCTTTGGTGCCGCTAATAATTCGTTTGGTATCCCTTCAAAGTGTTCTTCCTTTTATTAGTTACTAGCTTCCCCTCGGCTTCGCAGAAATTAATATAGTTTCTCCATAAAACCTTATAATTCCCAATTCACCCTTACAACGTTTTAATTTTATGTAATGTCGCCATCTTAGATTTCAAATACAAACGTAGCAACAACATTTCATCCTTAGGGGTTGATTTTTAAAAAATGGCCTAAACACGTATTTGCTTAATTTCAACAATGATAACCCTTCGAGTAAACCCGAGTACAAATAGAATATACCCCTTGGAAACGTTTCAACCTCTTTCCATTTGATTAACAATATCAAACAGCATATATACCAAGTTTCAAGTAAATTAAATCACAAATAAAATATGTGCCAAACAAAAATTGCAACACCCTTTTACCCCCCCTCCCTTTTTAGGTTAAATTTTTTAAAATGTGAAAGACCATTAAGACCAAGTTTCAAGTATATCTGACGACAAATAATTAAAAACATTGCAACTCCTCTTCATCACTCCCCCCCCCCAACGGGAACGGGATACGTCCGTCTCTTGGTTGTAAGCTACCTCCCCACTAATTTTCAGCCAAATCGGTTCAGCCGTTCTTCAGTTATAAATAGTGTAACTAACACGACTTTGTTTTATATGTATAGATTTACATTGGATTGATGTGTTAAAAGTTAAAAAGCAGTTTCCATGCTATTACAAAATTGTATTAAATATTCCTTTTGTTAACACCTCTGGTAGATAGGGTTCGTATAATAAAGCTACAAATAAGATTACAACAGTGATACCTCAGGTCATATTCACAGCTCGTATGTATGTATAATGTGCAATCAAATACCTAAATAACTAATAATAAATACAGTTTACAAGTTATTATAATCGTACGAAAAACTAAAAATTTGTCGATAATGCAACATTTACTTTTAAGCTATTTATAGTAAGTAGTAGACATTGAAGCATTTTAACGACTACATGTTATTATAACTACGGAATGACTTTTTGCATTAAACAGTTATACTTAATATACAATCCGCAAGGAATGCCTGGTTATCTTATTTAACTTATCGTGTATACCTATTTGTCGTATAATAACTATCAGAAATATTGTTTTTGGTAGCTGCCAACACTTGGGCGAGATTTTATCTGCGCTACATATGTTACAAAAAGTTTGGTTCATATGACATATTTGCTCGCATATTTTAATCACTGTCGTCGCTTTCTGATTCTGCATGAACAGCACGTGTTGGTTCTTCTTCAATTATAGCAGCAGGTTTAGCGGCTGTAACCACTTCGTAAGCTGCTTGAGATTCGCCCTCTGTATGCTCGATACCCACCCTAATCGAGACATGATACTTAAATTGTAGAACAAAGTTCTAGCCTAAGTCTAAGTAACGATGATATAATTCATGCAAATTTCTTCTTATATTAAGTTGTTTACCCTGTTTTTTACTTAATTGTTATGGTTTGTTATATTATCATAACCTAACCTAACCTAACCACTTTGTAAGCTGCTTGAGATTCCCCCTCTGTATGCTCGATACCCACCCTAACCGAGACATGATACATAAATTGTAGAACAAAGCTCTAAGTCTAAGTAACGACGACATAATTCATGCAAATTTCTTCTTATATTAAGTGATTTACCCTGTTTTTTACTTAATTGTTTTGGTTTGTTATATTTTCATAACCTAACCTAACCTAACCACTTCGTAATCTGCTTGAGATTCGCCCTCTGTATGCTCGGTACTCACCCTAACCGAGACATGATATTAAAATTGTAGAACAAAGCTCTAGCCTAAATTTAAATAACGACGACATAATTCATGCAAATNAGAATGTAGGCCCCCTCCTGTCCAAACGAAATTTAAAATTCACAATCAGCTACAGATAGTCAACCAAAATGTTAATAAAAACATATACTAATAATATTTCAAATGCTTCAACCTATTCGTTGTGAATTTAAAATTTTTATCAAAGCGAACCCTTTGAATTTTATCCTTCTACCTAATGTCAAAAAATAAATTGATACCGTACGAGAAAAATTGCAATTGACAGTTTGAAAACGAAGAAACCTGTTGTTGTAACAATATGTTCACTTACTTGTACTCATGTCTTGCCAAGTACCGCACATATTTCTCCGGGGGTTCATCACTGTCAGAATTTTGTAAGCTAACACTTCTAACCGTCGTGTGGCTAACTTGAGTTGCGGGCATGGTAAATTCGACATGACAGTAATCAGGAAGTTGTTCCGGCATTTGGTCGAAACTTGTAAGAGCCAAACGACAAACAAGGTTATGGGTTGTGTAGGCCCCTTAAAAATAAATTATACATATCAAAATGTGTTAGATAATTCAGGATGGAATAAGCGTTATAGATATAAAACAAAGGATAACGCAGGGCCGAGTCGCCTTTAATAAAAAAAGTCACTTTTATGCTCTTGAAGGAATAATTTAAAAATTCAAAAGAGATTGTTAAAGGTGTTGGTGTCTGGGCGCAGTGGAAAAGAAAAAGTTAGAAACGTTCGAAATGTGGTGTTACAGGCAAATGATAAGACTACAGCGGATATAAATGAGGAGGTATTACAAAGAGTCGGAGAACACCAAGTTTGGACCAATACTGGACAGCCAAGTATGGGTTTGACAATACTGGTCCAAAGTTTGGTCAATCTTGAAATATTGAGGCTAGATACAATAACATTTAGCCAAATTTGGTCCAATATTGGGGCAGCTAAGCATTGGCCTGCCAGTACTGATCCAAACTTCGATTTAATTGTCAAGTGTCAAAGCTAGGTTTATTAACGTTTTGGTAAGGTTGGGTTTGACAATACTGGGCTATGAACCAAAGTTCGGTCAAGTTTCAAGTGTTAAAGCTAAGTATATGTACATATAAACGTTTGGTCAAGCTATATCCTGCTTGTCGTGAGTTCCTACATGGGTAAGAGAGTTAAAATTAGATTAGATTGCTATTCACAAATAGTTAAGGATATGGGATGTTCTAGTTTTAGGAAAATGCCAGTCTTAGGATTGACGACCCTATGACGATCATGATAATATTAAAATGTACTTTGACCTTTACAAGTTGTAGATAAAAATCCATTTCATATAAAAACATCGGCGTACCTACTTATATTATTAATTTTTAATATTTTTTGCATTTAATTTAATTTAACGATCGTTTATTTAGTTAACTAAATAATTCAGCTACTTGGAATTTACCTTGGCCTTCTTTAGGAAGTCTTGGACATCTCCAAACTAACGCTCTGTGTTGATGCTCGTATTTTGCTTGACCGGAAGTCACTTCGATTAGGCTCTCTTGTAAATTATCAACAGTACCAAGAATTCTTTCAATTCCTTTGATTTTACCAGTCCTGCAGAAGTCAGTGATAATATATAGATACATACAAGTTACAATTTAAACTTTAACTCGACTTGTGGTAACTTTTAATGGTTACATTATTTGGACATTTCTTTAGTCCGCCTCTCAGGAATTATTATCGGAATACTTCTATCTTCATTTGGTTTCGAGAAAATATAACTTTCTTATTTGGAATTAATTTTTTCAAAATTGAAAAGAGCTTCTTTTTCTATTTCTAATGATGTATAACAACCCTATTTTGTTTTCATTCTTTCGAAAGGAAATTAAATTTTTCTAGTTTTCACTAATTGGTTATAAAAGTCACAGTTTATCTGTTTAAATGCTGTTACGTCTTTCCGAACATGAAAGTATTCTTACTACAAGATTTCACACTTTGATAATTAGATTTCATAATTTATTTGCGGAAATACGAAAGCTAGTCATATTTTCTTGAAAACAAATGGATTTAGAAAATTTTCCGATAATTCCATGAGAAGCGGACCATAAGTGTCCTAACAATGGATCCCTTAAAAAGTTGTGATATCCAAAATTAATGAAACATACTATTTCTTAAGAATGACAAAAATAATTTCACCAATATCTTTTAAAGTAAATAAAAGGGCAACATGAAAAGCGAGCTTGAGATTTCCCTGAATCATTCCCCATTTAAGCCTTTGTAATAATAAGCAAAATGCTAACGGTTAGGTTCTAACTTCAGAGTATAGCAGTAATGACACATGTACGAACACACATTTCGCACAGTGTATACGGAGATTCCCTATAGTTTCGCATACAGTATATTTACAACTTCAAAAAATTATTTTACCTTCTGTGTGCTGATTTAACAGAACCATATCGAAAATGTTTTTCAACCCTAAACAGATAGATCCAGCATTCTGGTATCGGATACCTTATCATTACATCTTCGCAGGGTATTTGTCCTAATTTCCGGGAAGCGAATCCTGGTACCAAAACGTCTGCTTTTAAAATTATCTTAAAAATAGTTTTGTGTTATTACTAAAACTAAAAGAAAGCTACAAAAAATGCATTACTTTATTTCCCGTCACGTTCAAGGAAGCTTTTAATTGAAGAGGTAACTCCCTGTTTTTGGGTGGTCGTACCCTAAATCGCATCAGTTCAATGTAACACGCATCGGGGGGCTTGAATCTACGATATCAATTGAAACAATTTTTTATTTCGTAAGTAAACATTAAGTACTTAGTAAAATCAATAAATAAATAATCAGTTTTAAAGTTGATATTAGATACTAACTTTATAATGTGTGAGTTTTCGTATTCGTCTTGTTGGACACATGAATGAAATTCGACTTCCTCAAGTCGAATCCACTCTTCAGTTACGACTGGAATGATATCATGACGCCCTACGACTTCCTTCCCTTGTCTTCGTAAATCATTAACGCCTAATTCTATATCAGGCATTCCGGTTAGAAATCCCAAAAAGAATAGCCGTACTCTTGCTATCTGTCTTTCTATATGACCTGAAATAAAATACATCGAAAAGTAATCAAACGAAAAGAATAATTAAGTCGTTTTCTTAAAGCACCGTCTGATTCCTGTTCGACGTAAAGTTCATCCACAGTTGTAATTTGAACTTCTTCCATTTTATAATGCAACGCCCTGTCCCGATGAGCTGAAAGACGAAAGAGAGCTTCTTCCACACAGACAGAAAACTGTTTTAAATCTTCATAGCTTAAGGATCCTAACTTCATTAACTGGGACACTTGGGGGGCATGTTCTACCGGCAACCCCAATTTTTTCAAGTCGCTCCCAAATTCTTTAACGCCTATAATTTTTTTAAGTCCACACAGAATTATTAATTACAATGCTCAGTTTGTAATAGAAGTTACCCTGATAATCCCCCTGTATAGCGTAAGAAGCAAACTGACTTAGTTTATTCGTAATTCTTTCTGCCTTTTTGACTTGACCGGGTCGTACACCAGGACGTTCTTTGTAGAAGATGTATTGAAGTTTGATAGTGAAAATTTTTCCGTACTGATCATATTGTTGGGCACCTATGTCCGAAACAGAGTAACAGGGTTGAAGTGGAAGCTCTTGGAATGGGTCTTTGTCACCCTTCTGATTATATAATTGCAGTAGCACGCAATCTGGTTGATGAACCAACATAACAAATATTTTCTTCCAGAATCTGCAAGTTTTTATCAAAAGAGAAAGTGATAATGTGTTGTGATATTGATCATTGAGGAGTTATACCTTTGCCCAGTAATTTTTTTCTTATTGGGCTGCCTCAAGTGCATTTCCCATTCTTCCCTTTTTAGCGTTGTTCGAGGAAACGGTTCTAAAGGTTGAGACACGTCCTCATCAAATAACGGAGTTGGAGGGGTTTCGGCAGAATCTGTTCTTTGAATTTTTGCCTCATCTAGAACCATAAAATAAACACGTATGGAATGATTTAGATAAACGTTTATGCATGTGAATGTTTACCAAACACCAGGGCTGGTTCTTGAGAAGATATGAGTTCAGTAGTGGGTTTTGCTTGGTCAAATGGATTAAACCTTGGAGAGCTTTCTGAAAAGGCGTTTTGGGTTTGAACAGGCGGTGGAGCTATGGAAGGCATAATTTCGTCGCCGAAAGCATTAGATTCAACTTTTGGCCTAAAACAATTTAATTTGTTATCCAAAAACTGTATGAGTTTGAAACAGTTACCTTATAAACACAGAAAAGTCTTTCTCTTCTTCAGAGTCTTGCGAGGGCGCTTTCGACATTCTGTTTGGAGTGCTTTGAGGTACTTGAGGGGGCTCTTGGAGTGTAAGAAAATTGTCAAAGGGTTCCTCGTTTTCGAAGCCTCCAGCGAAACCAGTTCCGCCGAAATCGTTACTATTTCCCCATGCGTTTGAATTGCCAGAAAAAGCATCAAAGACGCCGTTCTTATTCTCATCTTTTGTGACCGATTCGAATTTAGCCGTAAATGCGTCGAATTCGTCTTCTTGTTTGGGGGGTTGCGAGAAATTTACCATTTGACTTACAGACGTTGGAGCAGTTTCTGGTACAGCATTACTAGGTGGCAAATACGTATTCTCTCCAAGAATATCAGGTTGCTGCTTAATCACAGCCGGTATCGGCTCAGTACTATTTTCAGTAGCCATGAATGGATTGAAACTACTACTCGAAATGGATCCTCTACTTTGATTGTCGTTTAATTCCATCTGAAAATCCGTTATTGATTTTTCTGGAGACGTGAAACTTCCATGACTAATGTCAGTCTCCTTGGTATCTTCCGTTAAAGTAAAATTATTACTATTTTCGATAACTACTGAAGGCTTTTCCGGTTCTGATGGGAGGATTTCACTAAAATTGACACCAAACCGAAGTAAAAACAACTAAGTTATTTGTAAAAGAAATTGGTTACCTCGAAACAAAATCAGTAGGTTCCTTAGTATCAAAAACCGTTGATCTTTCTATTAAATTATGGTCTTGTATTAGATCTGGTTTTGTGTCCATTTCCATGGCGTCAGATAAAAGATCAATTTTAGGTTCTTCTACTGGTTGACTAGTAACAGACGATTTTCTGTTGTACAGGTTAAGTATATCTTCTTTGGATGCAAAAGCCTTTTGAACCGGTGGAGCAGGTTGAACGCTGATACTATCTCCCAACATGTCTATCATTTCATTAGATACGTTTTGATCTACTACTGGTTTAGGTTTTTCCTGAGGAGGGTTCACTAGATGTGGAGGGGGTGGTTTTGATGGCGGTGGTGGTTTAGGCGGTGGTATCTGCTTTTTTGGAGGTTCTGGCCTTGGAGGCGGCGGTTTGGGTTTAGGCTGTATTTCTTCATTTTTAAAGGCATCAGGAATGACTTGATTTTGGTTTACATCAGGTGCTTTGCTTTCATTAAGGGATAGGAGATCGTGTGATTGAAAATCAGAAACACTCTGTACAGCTGAGTTGTTCTCTATCTCTTGCATTCTTGAATCTCCCATGTCAAGAAGGTCTTCGCAAGCGCTTGGTTCTGGCGTTGGACACTGCGAGTGAAGATCTTTCATTGATATAGGACTTGGCGATCTAGTTGGAGGAATCCTATCTAGCAAATGGGAACTGGTCGCGTCCATGGCTCCCATTACGGACATGAGTAAGTCTTGGGTTTCCTTCGATGCCGATGTTGTAGGCATCGATGGTCGGAGTGGAGCTTGGTTGTACTCAACTACGAAAAAATATTTTAAGTATTGCCCAATAAAGATAGTTTTTACAATTCTTTTTTACCTTGAAGAGACTGCGTTTGATCTTGAGAAAAATGCGACCCAAATGAATCATTTACATTAGAGACAGTGTTTGTGTATGCCAGATTTAGTTGAGTGGGTTTTTGAGGTGATGTGGTTACGGTCGTTTCGACTGCGCTTATGGTGTTTTGGTCTAAAAATATTAAAGAAATTTAAGACAGTAGAAGAAATCTTGTAGCGCTGTACATTCTGATTACAAACCATAATTAACGGCAGTTTCCGCTTCAGCAGGTCCAAGGTCCATAGGATCAAAAGCAAAGGGATTAGTTGAGTTGCTAGGTGCAACAGCGGCAGCAGTTTGAGACAAAAATGGATTATCGATTTGACTAGCGTTCCCATACAGAAAATCTTCGTTCATTAGGAATGGGTTTGATGCAGCTTGTTGTTGTTGCTGCTCTTGTTCGAATGTTTCCTCGAAAAGGAAAGGATTAGCTCCGTTATTTGCCATTGCGTTTTACAATAGTTCTGACTCTAATAATTTTATTTCGGTTCTGCCCAAATGAATATTGTCAGCTATCGAAGTATCAAATGGATCTACTTCGTCAAGAAATTCAGCTTCGTTAATTTCATCGACTTGTAAAGGTGTTAATGGTTTAACAGGTGTCAGTTCCACGGTTTCCTCAAGAAGATCAGGAAGATTACTTGGTTGTGCGATAGTACTGTTTAGGGAAGACGACGGTGTAATAGTAGGAGATATTGTGGTATGAACCAATTCCTTTTCTATCTGTTTCAATTCAGCATTTCCAGGAGCCAAATTGTCAGCAATCGAAGTATCGAAAGGGTCTACGTAACTGTCGAAATCATTAGATGGAACTTCTGTTGCCGGTGTCAATGCTTTTGCTGTATCTTCTTCACCTGTTGTTAATAAATCAAAGGACTGAGTTGAACTGATTGGAACTGAATCAAATTTGGCAGCAAATGTGCTGTTCCCATTAGTGTTTGTTATGGCCCTATCATCGAAAGAAGTATCGAATGGATCGTCTGATGTTGTTTCGGGTGGCGATAATTTTTCTGGAATAGAATTCTCTCTTATATAATACGGTGTCAAAGGTTTCGCTGCTTTCTTATTTTCGTCTTTTACAGCTAAAGAGTTGTAAATAGCGCCTTGTAATGGCAACACAAATCCCACTGCCTTTTTATCCGTTAATGATTCTTTTCTGATGTTCCTTTCTTCTGCTCGTGGATCAAAATCGTCGTCCAGGGGTTCCTGGATCTTATGTTTCAGATCGCTTAAAAGTTCCTCTTCCAAGTATTTTAATTCCGTCTGACAAGGTTCAGTTATGGTATTGATAACAGACGTTGTATCGAAAGGGTCGCAGTATTCAATATAATTTTCATCAACCTTTTCTTGGGGTTTTAAAGGTTCTTCTCCTAATTTTGTAAGATCGGTGTTACTTCCTCCTAAGAGATCTCGTTGCGCAGGTTGAATTACTTTCAACAAAATTTCTGAAAAGAATGACGTTCTGAAATTAATTAAAGGTTAAAGATTAATTAATTAGCTTACCAGTGGTCTTTGTAATTTGAACGGAAGCTTTTGGATCTTCTTCCGTACTCAGTATTTCCTTTTCTATTAACTTGAGTTCAGTTTTTCCGGGCAGTATATTTTCTGCAAAAGTTGTATCAAAAGGATCGTCTTCTAAAGGTTCGATAACTTCTTCTGGAATTCCTTTTTGGGTGTTATCGATTTGACTACAATGAAACAGGGAATTATTTTCAAAGCTTTCTTGTTCTTTAATGAGTTTTATACTTTTCAGAAAAAGCGTCCCAATGTTCTTCTAGTACTAAATTTGTTGCTCCAGTTGGTAAAGAAGCAGTTACAACTGGTTTAGAAAGACTTTCAGCAGCTAACAATTCAAATTCAATATCGTCATCTTCTTCAAATTTATTGACAAATTCTTCTATCAGTTTCTTTTGCACGTGATTGGTTGCTTCTTCTTTCTTTTCAGCAAGATTAGTTAGAGTGGTGGGCAATAGGTTCTTACTTAAATCAATCGGTGACGTTGCAAGGTCAGGTGGAGCATCGTCAGTGTCAAGAAGAGTTGGTTTAGATTCCGAAACGCCTTAAAATTATACCGTTTAGAAAATTCTACGAGTCGAACTAACAAATATCGGTAAATACTTGTATCTGTTGTGCTTGCTGTTTCCTTAAAGCCTTCGTCAAAACTACCAAGGAGGAGGTCCCTTTGTTGAAGAATTGCTCTTTTGGGCGACGGTCTCTTCACAGGAACGCAAGTAGGTGCTTGGACACGTCCTGTTAGAACTTCAACAGCTGAACCAATTGGTACGAGTTTTTTGCCTTTTCTCTCAACAGCTGGGCCTAAAATTGCCCTTTCGGCAATCGAAGTATCGAAGGGATCGTCACCTGTCTGCTGCTCAGTAGGAGACTCTAAAATAAGAACGCAGAAAAGTACTGAAACTGATTAAAAAGACAAAACAAACAGAAAATTGTATAGACCGTTCTAAATTTGTTTTCATATTGAAGGTAAGAAGAAGTAAACCTGGAATGTAGGCTAATTTAACTTCTCCAGTTACTATAACATCCAGGTACGATGTATCAAAAATATCTTCATCTTCTTCTTCTGTTTCTGACTCAGAAACTTCTACAATTCCTACTTCTTGAGCTTTTCGTGGTTCCTCAACAGGTTGAGCAGATTCTTGGGTTGATGTTTCGGACTTTGGTTGTTTTTCCGGTGCAGATGGGACAGTCACTCGTTGAAAAAACGATGTACTTTTTATCCGATCCAAATCATCTACAAATTACTTCTTTTTAAGCTGTTCGCTTTCGTATCTTGTGTCTGACGCCATTTAGTTTCCAGTTATGTTAACTACCTCACCTTGAGTCTTTTTCAAAACACTATCGATCCCAGCAGTAAATTTTTTCCAATCTTCGTTTTCTTTTCCTGGCTTTTCTTTATCTTCGCTAGTCGGTGAAGGAGCAGTCTGGTGTTGTTTGCGATATGCCTCTAATTCTTCTGGTTTAAATAAATCGTCCTCTTTGTGCTTCGATTTTTTTCCTTTCTTTTTCTTCTTAAGACCCTTTGTTAATTTGTGCATTTTTCAGACCACATTTTTATTTTTTCTAAAATATAATCACACTTCAAGGCGCTATCTTTGTAATATAAACTAGATTTTTAAACAAATACCTTAAGTGATTATAATCATCTAAATTATTGTTCATTTATTGAACAAATCGTATAGTAGAAATGTCTTCCTTAGAAATTAGCTGTACTTTTAAATAATAATGAAATAGAAGCAATAAAAAAGGTACTAAAATAACTAAATTCTCTAGCTTTAAGATTAAGAGTGAAAAATGGTAACTAATTGTAAGATGAACATTTCAATAATTTTCTTATATATAGGTAATCATTTCTACTAATAAAAATCTCTTGTTGAGTTGAGAATAATTTGCGATACCACTTAAAATTTTTAATCTTAGGATTATTATCGATATCCGAAATTTAAATTTGGAAAAAGCAAACTGATTATTACGGTATTACTTCTTAATTGATTACAATTATACATATTATTATTGGATTAATAGGTGTAACTTACTCACTTTAAATCAAAGAAATCGTTTTTTATCTTTTCTAAATGATCTTTAATTTCACAATGCGAAAATATCGACATAAATTAGTTACTCGGCACACCATCACCTGTTACGTTTTGCTACATGTCAAAATGATGACCTTGCTTTATAAAAGAATAATTTTATCGAGAGCAAAAGATTGTAATTAAATTTAATAGTACTTACACGATATACTGAAGAAAAATGATTTACGGGATGTGAACACGGTCCAGAAATTATTTTTGTTTTCGATAAATAGCGATGTCTTGAAATAGACGCCATGACACACATTCGCCGTCGCGGCGCTAGGCGTCTAAATACAAGTTCGCGAAGTTATATAGGTATTGATCGGATGTACAGTCAGGACCGTAATGAAAATTTTACTTATTACTTTATTCGAAATTATGTACTTGATGCAATTTCTAGTTTATCTTAAAATGTTAAACAATTGTTTACATGCTTATTAGGCATTGTAACAAAGACTTCTACGGTTTTAATTACTTTTATTTATTTTTTGATATAGACATGCCTCATGAAATGTTACAGATTCATGTTACAAGATTCTTGACAATACTCGTTTTACATTAGGATTAAATTTTTGTATTGTTAATTAACTGCGAATAAACTAATGGCCGATATTACTTTAATTCATGATGTTTTAGATTTTATAAGCTAATTTATTTATTTATTGTGACACATTTTCTTTTTAAACTTTGATAATATAATTGAATAGAGGTGTTATACGTATAATCTACTTTCACAATTGTCATATTTATTTCACAAATTCAATTAGTTCATGCACGTTATGACAGAAGTTAGACATTGGGGTTTCCTTAAAGTGACTTACACCAAAATTTAGGGGATACCTTATCGTTGGTATGATTACTACCAGCTTCAGTCCATTCGACGGATTTAAATCTTTTTGAATTGTTTTTATGGTTTTATTATATTCTATATTACTTGGCATCCTTTTTCTGTTAGAAATTGTTTTATATTGTAAACGTGTATTAAAAGAAAAAGGTACTTACGTGCTGAGTTGGCTTGGGAAAACTCAGCAAATATGTAACGAGCACATTTTCACTAACAGAAAACACTGATCTATTTAAATTTATATCTGGATGCCCCAAAATAACGCTAAAGAGACAACCGATATTGATCCAGAGTCTTTTGATATCTGTACAACGTGTCCAATAGAAATTCCCAATTCAACTCTGACGTAAAGAATGAGCGCCAAATATAAAATTTCGTATCACCAGTAGTAAATATGTGTCGCAATAGTAAATATACACGTTGCGAATACATATAACGATTTTAGAAGTTTATATTTTTCTAGACTTTCGTAAAATTCAAGATTCATTTGTTCTGATTTTCTGTAACAAAAGAAGTCAGCGGAATTTCATTGTTAAAACATTTGAAGTTATACTTGTTTTGATATGCAACGGAAGGTGCGCGCGCAAACGGGCAATGAGCACGGAACCAAAACTGATGCATCTAGTCTGGGCTAAATAAATAGATATGTAATTTCTAACGCGTGTATTTATTCATATTGCATTCTTATCATAAATTAAAAGAAAATACTTTAAACTTACCTACAGCTTGACGTACTTACCTTAAACCTTATCAATCAATTAATACAATCGACTTTTTTATTTTTAATATAATTAAGTTGTAATACAGTAAAAGAAACATTTTAATTTTTAATATCATTTTAATGAAAAACAATGGAAAAACATATAAAGTAATTTTTAAACTTCTGCACAAGCAGACAACTCAGTGGTATATTCTAGAGAATAAAAATTATATCTATATTGTACTTCTAAATATAATTATTAGATATCTAACATTACAAATAATATACAAGGTTTGTAATTCTTTTTAATCAGGATACTGTTAACAGTAGTAGCGGTTTTTTTATTAATATGTTTATGAAATTTATTTCGCATTTTGTTTGATGGGTACGCCGGATTGCTTCAGTTGCAGAATTATAGAGCGCATACGCGAAACGTCTTTACTACTTTTGCTTACTTTAGGACTAAAATCGCACAATTTCGCTATCCTTTCCCATTCCGTACCGGGCTCCATTTGATCGTCTTCAGCGACGAATAACTTTTCAGCATTTCTGCATACAATGTGAAAAAATTAATGAATAATTATAAGCGCGAATATAAAAAAAAACTTATTAAAATCATGCAAATATATTATTAATTTTTCTATAAGCGCACAAGAAAGATTATTGTAGCATACTAATAATAATCTAAATATTTTAATTTAAATGACTT